GATTTTTATAATGGGACTTGAGCACAGAGTTTGGTGCATATGGTGATCTTGGAACCAAACACTAGCTGATACCTAGGTCCCCCTGTATTTCAAATTGTGCTGGCCATTAAGACAGATGCATCCATGTTAGGCAGCCTACCAGAAATGTAATAAAGTACTTGATTTTGTTTGCTTGACTAGCATTACAGTGTCCCCGTTGAACACATAAAGGGCCACAAATTTAGAAGAAATAAGAACTTTAAAGAATTACACAAACATACATTTTACAAAAGCAATCTCTGGAACATGAGTGTTATTGTGCAGTTGTTGTTTTTTTGTTTTTTGTTTTTGCTGGTAGATCCACTATCCGTGTTGGCTTGATGATTATAGTCAAGAAGCCCCTTGTCTCAGCATATTTTTCACTGAAGCTAGAATCTTCATTAGGACTTCTTTATATATAATTGTATCTTCATACATAGATGGCAGATCCATTGAGGATAAAAATATGTTATCTGTAAGCAATGACAGGAACATCTTTTTTATTTGTAGGAATGGTGAAACCCTTTTCAAGTTGCAACTTTGCCCTCTTTGGGTAAAATAAAATAGATACTACCTAACTGGTTTTTTTTTTTTTCACATAAGAAAATAATTTTGTATGAACAAAATACATGTACCTCAGTAATTTTAGATTGTCCCATAGGAGCACTGAATCTTAGTATGATTGGTTTGGGAAGAGCATCTTTTTAAATTTAAGCTGTTATGATATAGGATTTTGTAGTGAATGTTTGAATAGTTAAGCTTAAACAAATAAAAGTACTGTACATAGTGGAAATTCCTTGAAGAACTCATGTTCTGCCTCCAAATAAATTAATAACAGTAAAAACTAAAGTAGATTTTTTCTCATATAGTCTGTATAGATAGTTGTGTCCTTATAGCCTTTTAACAAGCTTTTATAACATTAACTCACCGGAATTTTAATTGTATAATAATGAAATAGGAAATTTGAATCCCTTCATTCAGTGATTCCCAACTTTTGGTCCTCCAGTTATTTTGGACTTCCAGAATCCCAGCCAGCTTACCAGCTGTTAGGAATAGTGGGAGCTGAACACCTGGAGGTTCAAAGGTTGGGAACCACTTCTGTAGTTAACAAAGTTTTCTCCCCTGAATCTAGTTGACTTTACATGATGAAAAGTGTTTTCTCCAAAGAGAAACTAAACAATAATCAACTGAAAAGTTATTTTTTATGTGAATGAGAACTAGATAAAGATTGTTGTATTATATATTTTATTACATTTTAAACAGAGTCTATACAAGAATATGCGGTACAACCAAAGTGTTAAATGTTCAAAAACAGAAGAAAAGAAAAGAGGAAGCATAAAAAGGAAAAGTGAAAGAAAAAGAAAACTGAATAATATATATGTATGTTGGTTTTGGCTACAGTTTAATTAACTCCGAAGTACACTAAAACTAATACATTATACTAGAACACTAAATATTGGCCATCTAACACAACATGGGGCTCTGACCCTCCACCCAATTCAACTATGATGAATTATTAAGAAAAAAATACCAAAAGGGAGAAAAAGATTATTCCTACAAGAATTAGTAATACCCATAACTGCACAGTATTGCATCATTATTGTCCCCCTAGCTCAAGAAGTCCATATATGGCTTCCAATCCTTCAGAAAAAAACCTTTAGTTTGTTTATTCCTTAAGATACATATTGACGTGACAATGTGGGCTAACATAGCAGCTTTGACAATTATCTATTTTTGGGTCAACAATATTTTTGCAGCTGTTGTTATATATTGGAAAAATAATTCATATCTGCTATCTAAATCTTCATCCATATTATCCAATAAAAACATTGCAAGTCTATCTTTAGAATTTCAAATTAACATATCTATTCTATGTTTTTGCTTTCCTGTGAGTCCACCATATATGGAAAAAAGAATCCCTTTTCTTGACATCCCCAAGAGAACTAGATATAGAGCTTGATTGTCATTTAAAGAACAATTCAAGAAATGTTTGCCAGAGTGGTGAACATCTTTGGATCATCCCTTTATGGCCTGTAACTTTTACACTCAGAAAAATCTAAGAAGTTCTTAAACCATTGATACATTCAGAGTTCCTGAATTGTGATACAGTATACTTGACTACATTTTAGCTTTGACAAATACTTCTGTTTGTTTAATAACAGGGAGTATGCCTTAGAACAGGGAGAATGAGTGAGAATTTTAATTTGGAAGTCAAGTCCTGACATGATTGTGGTGGCTCTTACCAGATAGATTCTGTGACACATAAAGTTAAAACTTGTGGAAGTGATACTCCTATAATCTGCAGTTATCCACATATTAAAAGGGAGGGGGCTGGGGTATGAAAATACGGCTAATTCATCAGTTTGAATACAGATTTTCATTGTGATTGTATCGTGTTTTCCCTGGATGAAACCTGTTTTTCAATACTAAATTTCAGGAGATTGGAGCCACTTGAAGTAACTTGGTGTAAATTTGAGTGACCTTAGAAGATAGGTAGATGATTAAGATGTCTACTGTGCCCCCCCCCCCTTTTCAGGTTTTGAAATAGCAAATGCGCTGCCGTTTGACCTCTGGTAGAGAGAGCCCTCAGTGAGCTCTTTCTGTTTGTGAAAACCCAGTTCTGCTGCAAATCTGTAAAATAACATTTACATAACATCTAAAATTATGGAGATGAAAGATTTGCTTATTAATTAAAATTATTTATCCGCTATTTGTAGACTTGGTGGTTTACACATGAAAAACCACAAAACAACAAAATAATAACCAAAGCAAAGTTGTCAACTGAATGAATATAAAAAATATTAGAGTGTAATTGATCATCAGTCAAATCTAAGCTATCAAAGTGGTGGCAGAACAGTCACCAGTCATATCCTTGTGAGCAATAGCTGCCAAAGAAAAGACTGCCCCGCCCCCCAAATATAATAATTAGGCATGAACATGACAGACAATATACCTTCAGATGACTTGGTCTTAATCATTTAGGCCATTAAAGGACAGCACCAATATTTTGAATTGGGACATGAGAACTGACGGCCAAATAGCACTGCTGATATTTTCAGAACAGACCATTCTCAGCAAGTAGCCTCACTCCAGCCATCTCCAGAAATAGCCCATATATGACTCCCACAAGATGGGACTTGATAAGTACATGGATAATGGTGACCAGATGGGAAGTAGCTGGTAAAATAACTCTGTTCCATTCTGACCCTCAAATGGCAGAGTCAGATTTATGAGCACCTCCAAACTATAACCCTTCTAGGAGTTTAGCATGACTTAATGAAATGGAAGAACCACCTAGCGCTGACTCCATCTTGTTTGCAATGCGTTTCAATTTATTGGCTTTCATTCACACAATTAAGCTCTTTTACCAGTTCGCCATTGTCTCCTCTTCACTGAATATCATCAAGAACAAATAATATATTTCCCAACAGTGTCATGCAGATATTTAAAAGTGTGGGATATGTAATTTGTTTGGTATGCTTTCTCATTTTTCCAAGTTGGAAGTTCAGGTGTGTTTTTTTATTTAAAAAACGGATATTTGGATATTTGTTGTAAATGTGTCCTTCTATAGTAGGGGGAAGCATTGCAACTTGTTACTTGTCTGTGGTGGCAGTTATCCTTAATCCTAATTATTATTAATCCTAATACGTTTAACAAACATAATTTGGATTGCATGAAGCCTACAAAGACTGCTGGGTTGTATTAGTACAGTGCTGTGGCAGCTGCAGAGTGCAGTATTCTCTTCCAGCCTCAAAGCCAGCATAATGCTTTTGACTGAAAAGAATGTGAGTGCTGTACTCATGCCTTGTATTTAAATGCTAGACATTCCTATGGGAGTTGCATGTGTAATGCACTTTTTTGTCTCGGGTAGCACTTCAAGGGCATTAGGACGTTATTTTACTATTAAAATATCCATTCATGTTTAGCTGTTCTTATATGGGCCTTCAAGTGATTCTCCATATAAAGACTGATCAAGTCCAAAGTTGCTTCATGCCACCAGATCTTTTACTGGGTGCCAATAAGAAATGTAAAATAGGTTAAATTGACACTGCCAAATAATACTGTTTCAACAACATTATTTGGTCATCATAGACCTATATAATGTAGGTCAGTGCAGTTCAAACAACAACATTTGACAGTGTTGATCCAGCCATACTTAAGAATAGCAGAAAAATAACCCTTCAAACCAGTTTCAGGGAAGCAGCCATGCTAGTTTCAACTAGTAATAACAAATTCTGAGAAATATAAAGCTAGCAAAAATGGGATTTTTGTTCTGGCTTTTCTGGAAAAATATTTACATTTTGAGAAACAGTTGAAAAATTGCTATTGTGATTTGGTCCTCTTGGGGGGTAGGAATCCACTTTGTTTAAAAGAGAGGTGACAATAGATGCTAATATTCCTACGCAAAACTTGGTTTAGTCAGCTTTGTTTTCTGAATTGTTTTTGTTTTTGTTGCTTTTGATTTTTCATTTTTCTCTTCATGTATTGCAAAGACTGGAAAGTAGTTTGACTGTGCCAACTAAGCCCCCCCCCCCTTTTCAAATGTCTTAGATATTTTATTCATTGTTCTAAAGGAAAGTATTTCATATGACAAAAATATTTATTTATATTATAGGGAGGTATAATTTGTTGGGCAAGGATGGAACTTCCTCTATTGTAAACCGGATTGAGTCCCTCGTCAGAAGTGAGAAGACCGGTATATAAAAGTTCTAAATAAATAAATAAACTTCAGATTTTTCCATTTATTCACACCCTAGAATTTCAGTTTTAAAAGGAACCAATAATATATGGTGAAAAGTGTTCCGTTTTATTAACTTTTAAAATTCCTCGCTTAAAATAATTAAATAAGATCCGTAGCCAGAAGATACTTTGAAACTATAGTGGAACCCATAACCTTTCACGATTAATAGCCTCATGCCAGCTGGAAAGTCATTATGACCATTCTGAAGTGTATGGCTAATTTGAAACTCTTTCTCTTTTAGCAGCTTCATGAAACAGTGAAAAGGAAGCTTGATAATTCTGTTTCACCTCAGAATGGTGACCAGCAGAATGGCTATGGTGACATGTTTTCTATGCCCAAGAAATTGCGTCATGAAGATAGTCTTGGTGGATTGACCGGCTCTTCCAATGGAATTCCTCCTGTATCTACTCTTCACCAACTTGACAGCAAACCATCCGGTGGAGACACTTTGCATCTCAATGGGAAACATTCCATGGGGCTAGATGGCATCAACAAAAAGTGTCTACCAGACTCTAACCTCCAGTTGAATGGAAGCAGTGATGCTAATGACTCATTTACTTTGGGTATTAATAAAGAGCTCAAGCAAGAACCACCAGATGATCTTCCTTGTATGATTACGGGACCAGGAAGTTCTATATCTCAGAACAACTTGATGCCTGATCTTAACCTTAATGAGCAAGAGTGGAAGGAGCTCATTGATGAACTGAACAGATCAGTGCCTGATGAAGACATGAAAGATCTATTTACAGAAGACTTTGAGGAAAAGAAGGATGCTGATTCTATTAATTCAGCTGCACAAACGCCATTGCCACAAGACATCATCATAAAGACTGAATTTTCTCCAGCTGACTTTGAGCAAGAGCAGATAGGATCTCCACAAGTCAGATCGTCTTCTGCTGGTACAGCCTTTATTGGTACCTCTTCTGTCCCTGTTAGTGCTGCTTCTCCAACAGTTAGCAATTCTCAAACAATGTTCCAGCCTTCCGGTCAATCAGTGACTGATAATCCCAACCAGTCCATGATGCAATCATCCAACCAGTCTCAGAATGTGCAGAGGCCTCTATCTAGTTCACTGTTGTCTGGACAAAATACAGGGGGCACCAAAGAGATGTCATCTGCTAAACAGCTTCAGCAAATAGCGGCAAAGCAGAAGCGAGATCAGTTGTTACAGAATCAGCAGCAAGTCCACCAATCCAACCAGATCTCTAGCTGGCAGCAGTCAGGGTCTTCTCACAGTCCACTGACTGTCCCATACAATATGGAGAATCCCACTAGCCCTTCAGTTTACCAACAGGACTTCAATAATCAGAAACTCATGATATCCAATATACCAAACAAGAGTTCTCCCAGGGCTGGTTATCATGGTGGAAATATATTAAGCCATCAGCCGAACAACTTGACCCAAAACTCTGTATCAAATCAAACCTCTGTACTGGACTATGGGAATACAAAACCTCTTACCCATTATAAGGAGTGTGGACAAGGGGTTACATTATCTGGACAGAACAAGGCCGCTATGTTGGCATATATGCAGCAGCAGCAGCAGCGTCAGCAGCCCACATTGCCTCATATGAGTGAAGAGCAGAATGGGATGTTTGCAGTGAAGAAATCTGGAAACATTGCATATAGGCCTCTAGTACCACACAGCCAGGTAAGTGTATCTAGTGATAGTTTTGCTATGATGAGTAGGATTCATTAAGTGGAACAAATGGGTAAATGGGAGGTTCTTACAGTAGGAACTTAATATAGAGAGTAGTGAAGAGAGAGTGCGGTGTAGCAGTTTGTGTATTGGACTCTGAAGGCAAAGATTCGAATCTGTGCTTGACTGTGGAAGACCACTGGTAGAAGCCATGGAAACCCATTGGATGAGACCCATTCTCTCATCCTCAGAGGGAGGCAAAGGCAACCCTTCCTCTGAACAGATCTAGCCAAGAAAACCCTGTGATAGGGTCACCATAAGACAGAAAGCACTTGAAAAGTGCACAAGAGTAGAAACAATCTCTAGCATTAGCTCTTCACTGGGTAAATATTCTGTCTTGATTTGACTGAAAAAGTGTGACCTCATCTGTGATCTATATACTGCTCATTATGTGGACACTATTTTTGCCACTGAATTTATACTTAAGGCATTACAATTTTTGGAGGACAGAAAGAGCTGAACAAAATAGAACCTTTGTGTTGCTTGTATGCAACATAGATCTGTTTGCAGTTCTTCAGGATCTGTTAAATAGAGTGCAGTTAATATTTTAATTACTTTGCCTAGGATTGAAGATTTCTCTTTTCTTAGAAGTTTGGAAAATATACTATAATTGGCAATTTGACAATTCACTTTGCTATGTGAGAATAAATGGCATTGTGGATTTGATCAATACACCACATGTGGTATTGCATATCACCAGTGCTTGCACACCAAATAATGTGGGAAACCAAAGAATTCCTCTCTGTGTTGTTGAATGTGTTTGATGTGGAGGCCTATTAAGTACGGTACTTGTGGGAATTACATGTAATAAGTAATATATATATATATATATATATATAGACATACACACACACACACACACACACACATGTTTGCAGACTTCAGTATGCTAGTGTTTACTGAAAATTCTGCCATTCTGGTATGCAGTAGTTGGGTCTGCAGTGAGAAGATAACACAAAAAGGAAACACATCCCTTTGCCTTCTGGGGCTGCTGCTCACAGCAAGACTTCTTGGAGCAGCCTCTAGGTGGCAGCTTCTCCCCATGGAAAGCTGTTTCCTGTCTCTTATCTCTTTTCAGCCAGAGCTGGAGTTAGGCACAGCTGTGGTTGCCTGGTGAAGGGCCCTGGTAATGGATTTCTCTATGTAATACCGTTCTGTCTGCTTTTGCAGGACCAGAATCCTCCGGCCGGTGTTCCTCGCATTCCTGTGTCTGTTCCTGGGCCTGGTGGGAGCACACAGCCTCCCAGTGTTTCCATGGCAGGTAACCACGGCAACACGGCCTATCTCAACAGTCAGCAGCAAGCGGCTGTAATGAAGCAGCACCAAATGCTACTTGATCAGCAGAAACAGAGGGAACAGCAGCAAAAACATTTGTTAATGGAGCAACAGAAGCAGTTCCTGATGGGACAGAGGCAACTTCTTGCTGAGCAGGTAAGAGAAAGGGGAGCCTGATGGACTTACGTTGTTATTAGATATGAATGTTATGGGTTTGATGTTGACTGACTGTTGTGTTTACAGGAGAGTAGCCCAGTTCGCTTAAGAATTCTCAGGACATTTCCTTATGCCCATGGACAAGATCAATGGAAAAGAAACCACCTCTCTTGTCCATTGATTTCTCAAGTCTTGTTCTCTGCTGAACCTGATTGGATCAGATGGACTTTAGTTACAAAAGGATGGCTTTCAGTTGTAAATTTAGAAAAACCTCTTAGAACTCAGGGCCCTTCCACACAGCCCTATGTCCCAGAATATCAAGGGAGAAAATTCCACAATATTTGCTTTGAACTGGAATATATGGCAGTGTGGACTCAGATAACCCAGCTCAAAGCAAATATTGTGGGATTTTCTGCCTTGATATTCTGGGATAAAGGGCTGTGTGGAAGGGCCCTTAGAGCAATAGAATCATGTGAGCTCTCATTCTCTTGTGGTCCTAAATCTAAACCGACAAGAGATCTTCCGGGATTTGTTCAGTGAGCAAGGAGAGCTTTGGGCCATCTGGTACCCTCCAGCTCAATGGCTGTCAACTTTATATTTTTAAATATTTTAAAGACGGTCTCACTGTGCTTCATTTATTATTTATTTATTTATTTATTTATTTACAGCATTTTTACCTCGCCCTTCTCAACCCCCCCCCCCCGGGGGGGGGGGGGGACACTCAGAGCGGCTAATAAAGGCAGCAATTTGATGCCACAAATCAATAACACAGTATAAAACCATAAATACTTACAGAGTGAACGGATACCAGCAATTATACATACATACGGATACCAGCAATTATTTTTACATAGCGTTTTCTGGATATACAGGTTTTTTTTTTTGCAAAAGGTTTTCTGTACAAGAGCTATGAAAATTATTTTAAGGATGGTTTCACTGTGCTTTGTCTATATATGATGTTGAACTAGTGGACCTCTTACCACTACAGCACTGTAATATCAAAATGTCCCACAGTTGGCAAAGTTAATTCTCTCTAAAAGTGTTGTGCAAGACCATTCTATCTTATATTTAAAAATATAATAATAATAATAATAATAATAATAATAATGAGACCATCTTTAAAATAATGTTCATAGCTCTTGTACAGAAAACCTTTTGCAAAAAACTGTACATCAAGAAAAAGCTATGTAAAAATAATTGCTGGTATCCGTAAAGTAGTTGATATGAAAGACAGAAAGGATGTGCTGCTTCACAGACTTGGTAGCTACCATTCAAAAGCTGAATTGAAATTGGGCCAGAGTAGAAGCAACAAAGACAAAGTTCTGCCTAACCTTACCAGGAAAAAATGTAGGAGAGAGTTTGCAAAGTAAAGGAGTTTAAATTTTTGAATAAGTTTCAGAAGGGCAGGGGAAGGGTAGGTAGATAGTTGTCAATCAAGATGGACATGTCTCACAATGGATTGTTAACTTAGACAGGGTTGTGCTGAAATTACTTTGTTTCATAAAGATCAAGTAGACAGAATATACTGTAAAGAACAAAAATAACTTTCTGCCCTTGCATCACACATTTTAGTGAAAATATTAAGACACAAATAATTAAGCAAGTATTGCAGAATATCATGCCAAAGTTCACTTCAAAAAGGTAAAAAAAAATCACTAAAATAATCAAAAATGGGAAGTATACATTCTAATAAAAATAATGCCACAAACACCATTTGCATGTGACAAAAAAACTGGTGGGACTTCAGAATTCAGACTGTTTTGGACCCAATATTCCTGACCTCACAATCGTGAAAAAGAAACAAAGTATGCATTGTTGATGTTGTAATCCCAAGCGACAGTAGAATTGATGAGAAGCAACTGGAAAAGCTTATACAATATGAGGATTCAAAGATTGAACTGCAAGGACTCTGGCACAAGGCAGTAAAGTGGTCCCAATGGTGATCGGCACACTAGGTGCAGTGCCTAAAGACCTTGGCCTGCACTTAAAAACAATTGGCGCTGACAAAATTATCATCTGTCAGCTGCCAAAGGCCACCCTACTCTAATCTGCATGCATTATTCGCCGATACATCATACAGTCCTAGACATTTGGGAAGTGATCTTGTTTGCTGTGTATTAATCATGTTGTGTATCAAATGATAATAATTTTGTATTTATTAACTGTATCTTCTTTTGGCTCGAGGCAGGGTACAGTTAAATGCATCTATAAAATCACATATTAAAACATTGTTGAATGCAGTCATAAAAGCATATATTAAAACATACACATATTAAAATTCCAGAAACAAAAGTTGAAGCACAATAAATATAGAATGTTATTTAAAAGTCATTGTTAAAACTGACTGAGTAGGCCTGCTGGAAGAGAGGTCTTCAGTCGCCTCTTAAATTCTGACAGCTGATTTAGCTGTTGGACCTCTTCCAGCAGGTCATTCCACAGTCATGGGCAAAATGGGAAGGTTCCTCCTCCTCCTCTTCTCTTAACCAAGACTCAAAGTGGTTCAGAGGAAGTGGAGGAGAGAGAGCCAATGTGTAGTGTTTTGAGCATTGGATTTCAACTCTGGTGATCACAGTGTGAATCCTCACTTGCTCATGGAAACTCATTGCATGATGACCTTGGACAAGTCACACTCACTCTGTCTGAACCAATCTTGCCAATAATAACCTGCAATAGGGTCACCTTAGAGTCGCCATAAGTCAGAAATTATTTGAAGAAACACAATAACAAATAGTGAGAAGCAGCCTCAACACAGTTTTTAAGAATGTCAGTTTTCTATTCTCTTCTACTTGAGCTTAAAATGTTTAATTTGGTTTTTAAATCAATGTATTATTAAGTGCAGATCCTTTGCGTTCATGATATTTTGTGGTCTATTTTGTTGTGTTCTGACTTAAAAACAAAGTTTTCTTAGTTCTCAAACATAAAACATAAGCAAAGTAAATAAATAAATAAATAAATAAAGTATGTTTGTTTCTGAGTTGTCTCTATAATGGTATTAAATCCAAAATAGTTACTGACTCATGCAGTAGGGAATCTTTAACAGTTATTTCTTTCTCTAATAACCCTGTAGGAGAAGCAAAGACATCATCAGGAGCAGCAACTCCAGAGGCATCTAACTCGACCACCCCCTCAGTACCAAGACCAGACACCAAATCCATACCAACAACAAGTTGGACAATTCACAGGTAATGTCAGTGGGATTTATTTTCAAATACTAACTAGAGTGGTCCTTCAGCTTCTCTTTATTATAGCTTTAGTTAATTTCAAAATACTGAATGCTGCTTAAACGTTCTTGTGTTTGTGCTCCATGGAAGCTTTTTCTAAGCATAATTGTTAGATTATATATTTTCTGAACTATTCTGGTAGTCTTGGTAGTCCAGCATTTCTAAAGACAAACAATAGCTCCCAATTGTTACTGACTGATTTAGAAGTGGGGAGGGGGTAATTTAGGCGGGTCCCAGTGTCAGTATGGCTAAGCAGCAGCCGTGAACAAAATTTCCACAAAAAGGGATTATTAGAACTTGTGCATGAAGACCAAATGAGGAATATTTGCTTGATTTTCCTCCCTCATCTTGGCCTTTTTTGGTGGTTGCAAACTAGCATGTGATAACAAGTGCTTTGTAGAATGTGGTCTTGTCTGTCTATCAGCCTTTCTATTTGCCAGCTGCACATTTAAATAGCAGCACTAGCAAATGTGTGCACTGGTATAGGTTGTCCTGATTTCGGACCTATTGCAGTACTGATGCCAGTGTCCCAGCAGTGAAAGTGCCTTGGCAATGGAATAAATTGCCTGGAGAAATGATGGGGTCTTCATCTCTGGATCTCCCAAAGATGAACAGCTTCCTGCTAGGGATGTTCTATCTGGAGATCCTGCACTGAGCAGGGGGTCAGCCACATGGCCCATATCTCTATGGTTATATGATTTTATTCTCATTCCTGTGATTATTGTTAGCTGCCTCGAGACCAGAAACCAGAGACCAGGCGAGATAGAAATGATGATGGTGATGTCTATGTTTTTAATTTTAACTACCATATAAACATATAAAACTTACAAACATATGTATAAGTCAACCTCATATATAGGTCAAAGGCAGACTTGGGAGCCAAAATTAGGGATTTTGCTTTTATCTGTGGTTATGTTCAGGGTAAAAATTAAGGAGGAGGACTAATTACAGCTATATGTTCAGTCTAGCTGCTGAACATTTACCTTGGTTAATCTGCTGTTTACCATCTTCCCTCCAATAATTTTTGACAAATTTTAAAGAGATTTTAAGGATTTAATATGCTGTAATTGTGAGGATTGTATTATGTCTTGTTTATTTAAGTTGCTTCTATAATTTCTTTATTGAGCTTCTTAATGATTTGTTTAGATGTTATCTTCAGCACTGAATGTTTGCCACTGTGCTTCGTTTTGTTGTAAGCTGCCCTGAGTCCCTTCGTGGAGACAGGGCAGGGTATATTATTATTATTATTATTATTATTATTATTATTATTATTATTATTATTATTGGCATGTAACCTTCCCTTGCCCAGATTAGAGGGGGAAAGCTAGCCTTTCCTCATCCTTTTTTCCACTGTTAAGCAACATTGTGGGGGAGCCTGAAGAATGCAGCACACCCACATTCTTTGGACATTTGAGGTGGTGCAGAGTAGTAGCCATTTTTAATAGGGTGGTACTATATACGCTCTGTACTTCTTGAGGTGGATCATAGTGGTGATACAGACTCTGCATGTGTCTCAAGGCTTGTAATGAGATTGCCAAGCCTTGCGAGTAAGCACCTATTAAAAATGACCACCATTTTGCTTCAGGTGCCCAAAATGGCAGGAAGCACAAAACATTTCCACCACTGATTTACACATAAGTTGACCCAGTGTTTTTGGGTCAGTTTTTGTCTTAACATTTTTCAGTGTATACATCTTCTTATAGTAACACCAGAGGCACTTCTAGTGGCCAGCTACTGGTCAAAGGACATTTAATCAACTACCAAGCTTGCAAATTTTGTGTTTTGTTTGTTTGTTAAAAAATGCAATACAACTGTTTGGCTTGCTCCTGGCACGATAAATAAATAGTGTATACATGGGTGCTTCTTTCATGAAAAACATTTTAGAAAGTTCATCTTCTTAGTCTCTATGCCTCACACTAATGGGGTTTGCACCTCTGTAGATACACTTTTTGGAACCTTCTAGAGTTGAATACCTTGGTGGGGCACCCGTCCTCTTGCACCTCCAAACCAATGAGTCTTAAATTTAGCTGCAAAACAATTGTACTGCATGACACAATACTTAAATTATAGCATGTCACCTAAATAGATGACAAGTATTGAAATAATTATTATAAACACTAGTGCTGAAAATCTGCTTTTATATTATAGGTTCATCTCCAGGAATGGCAGGGGTCAATAACTTAGGCCAGTCCAACTCCAACAGCCCTCGCATGTTTTCACAGCCACAGAATATGATCCAGATCGGAACAGGGCACAGCTCTGTCTCATCAAGTAGCAGCCAGCAAGATCGAGGAGTAACTCAATATAGTGGCTTGCAGAGCATTCAACGAAGTGGTTTGTACAACATGGCATCTGGTATGACACAGATGGTTCCACAGCATGCCAATCCCAGTGTCAATGGGCAACCGCAAATGCAGAGACCCCCTGGTTTGGCTCAGGGCACTGCTCTTCCTGCTGGATATGGACAGAGCACCCTAGGAAATCCAAGCATTTCTCAGCAACATAACAAAGGAGCACTGAATCCTACATTGCCAAAACCCCAGATGGCAAGAATGCCAACCACGATTGGGGCTCAAAATCCATCATGGCAGCACCAAGGCATGTCAAATCTGAATGCCCAGACACAAGGAAATAATAGTTTAGGGTCATTTACTCCCAGCTCCACTTTCCATATGCAACAGACTCATCTAAAATTAGCCAGCCAGCAGTTTGCACAAGGGATGCCTCAGGTCAGCCTCAACCCTGGCAGACCCATGGGCTCCATGAATGCGGCTGTTTCTGGACAGGTGTTGCCATCCATTAGCACCCAGCAGAGAACGAATCCCCCGACCCAGCAGCCGGTCCCCTCTCAGCAGGTTCTGCCAGGGTTGAGCCAGGCCGTCCCAGACCTGGCAGCTTTCAGCCAGAACCAGAACCAGCCAATGCCCAGCCGGGCCACTCTGCACTGTGGTCAAGGCTATCCGGTGAGGACAGCAAGCCAGGAGCTGCCCTTTGCCTACAGTAGCCCATCCGGGGGCAATGGACTGCCGAGCCTGACTGGGGATACGGATCTCATAGACACTTTCTTGAAAAACAGGACTTCAGAGGAATGGATGAATGACTTGGATGAGTTGCTAGGGAGTCATTAAAATACAGTTTGGGGTTTTTTTCTCTCTGCTCAATTCTTTAAATATTTGAAAATGATTTTTGGACCAAATACCTGTGGCACTGAGAAGATTCACAGGCATTAGTGGGGATGTATTGGAACTGCTCCCTTCTGGGTTTAACAGCATGAGAACTATACACTAATGTGATAGGAAATAACATGGTAATTTTTGTAACGTGTCTGGAACACTGCACATGACTACAGTCTCAATGAGTTTGGTGTGTATGGCCAGCTGGCCCTTCAAAAATTTCATTTTAAACTTTGTTTTGCATTTGCAAAACTTAAATGTTAACCCGCGCAAAGGCGGTGCAGAGACTGCTGGCAAGGAAAACTCCCAATAATTCAGTGTTAAGGCCATCTTTCCTACCGCTAGTACTTGACAGGTTTTTTGATCTCAGTTTGACCTGCTAACTGGTAGAGGTAGCACCCTGCCAATATTTTATTCCTGAGGAAAGGATGGGCAACTTTTATTTAATTATTTGCAGGACCCTCTCTGGTTTAGAGGGGACAGTTTTCTAGTCACTAGTGATGTGTGCCTGCATTCTCAGCAAACAAGATATGAAAGATCGCAACAAGAGCAAATGGCTTTCTATGCTGGAGATGGCTAGGTAGTGGGTTCTTTGTTGCCCTAAATTGGAGGCCTCAGTCTTAATTGGGTTATGGCTTATTAAGCTAAGCAATTTGCACTGCTGTGGGAGGGGTGGGTCAGGACTGAGCTCTTGGTTTTTAGAGGGTTTTTTTAATTGGCCAATCAGACTTAAAATAAAGTGTGTGCACTTTTTCTATCTCCTTTCCAGCATTCATTAAATGAGAGAGTTGGATTGATCACAGCTTATTTCTCCCCTTTGATTCGGAGAGCATTTATAATAAGCAATGTTTATTGCTGCCTCACGAGAGCTGTCCCAATAAGAGCAGCATCTGTAAATTTTGGTTGCTCGTATGAAGCAAACCTTGTGCCTTGGAAGATGTTAACTAACATGAAAAGAAATGCAGTTGCGGCACAATGAACTGGGGCAGGCGCGATACTTTAGTAAAGGTCGTTCCATTGTGAAAGGCCCCAACGCATTGGGGAAAACGGTGATTGAAACTCCTTAGAAATATATATAGTTCTTTCTAGAAAAGCATAATGGTCTGTGTGCAAGGTTTCATGGCTCTGTAGGGTCAGTTCCATACAGGGCGAAGAAAAGAGAATTAACGTGTTACCAAAAATTCTTCTGCTTGCCAACAAGCCACCTTTTGCCTTAACCTTTAGTTTATAAAGGTAATAAATTTGAAAGTTGTTATAGATGCACAGATACCTCTCTGTTCCCTCCTCTGGGTTTTCTTTTGTTCTTTAATGAACAGGACTGTATACCTCCTGTTTTAAGGATCCTTCCTTTACATCATCACACCTGCAACTGAGAATCAAAGAATTTCCTTCATGTCAGACCAATTCGGGAGCATTTCTACGCAAGTAACGTGTAGAAAGGTCTGGGATATTTTAGGCACAGGAATAGTTAAAGGGATAAAACAGTTGAACCATGGGAAGGAAAATACTTTTCTGTATCTGCAGTGTTTTTCTCAAATGTGCACTTTGGAAAATGAAATCTGCTTTAACACTACTTTTTTATTTAAACGTTTCCCATTAGTTTTGTTGTATGTGCTTGCCACCCACGAGCAGGTTACGTGTGTCATGTGAGTGAGATGTTTGTCTTGTATCTTGATAGACGGTTGATGGGGGGAATGGAGAAAGCTGCGTGTGGATGGTTGGGCGGTTCCACTGCTGAATGTCCAAACTGAAGCAAATGACATGGCTTGTATATTTTAAGCATTTCTAAGCGGTGGTTAATTTAATAAATGAAGCAGATGTCACTGAATATTATTATGAAGTAAATTAGGTTAGCTTTACATTTTACTGATCTTGTTCACAAGCCATCATTCAACTGAATTTGTCTCCATGAGCTTGGGTTTAATCACAGAATTGATCCAAGTTGAATGTCATCAGGAAAATTCCTTTCAATCTTTGTAGCTGCTTTTTCGTTTTGGCCCAGGGGAAAAATGGGGTGGGATGGAGTGGGTACAGTTGTCCTTGTTTTTTAAATGCCTTGGGGATTTTGCACCAGTGTGCCTTCTTTTTCTCATTGGAGGTGCTTGGGACCTCATACTTCTTAATTGTCTGGGTTCTGCTGATTCCCCCCCCCCCCCCCCCTTGGGCACACTGACAAAAATGCCAGTTGTTATGAAGTTTAAATTATATTAAATTCTAGAGTAATATTTTGGTGCAAAGAAAGGTAACACCTTGTGTTTCTAATGCTACAATCAGATTCTGATGTCCAGTAAAAGGTTGCTGTTTCTTCTATTTAGCCTAGTTATATAGGTGTTTGTCAACTGCAAGTGCATGCTGTTTCAAGTACTGTTCACACAAAGTATTTAGTAATTTGACCTTGGTATGTTTTGGAAAGGCATGTGCAAACAAATCCCTAAAAATCTGTGGGTAGGAACTTTCCAATCACAGCATGCAAGGCAACCTTGTGGCATTTGTCCCTGCAGCTATCCAAATTGTGAAAATGTAGCATTGGTGGGACAATAGCGATGTGCTATTCAGTGGTTCTTGAACATGGTGGCTGGGTGGGGAAAGCCTGAGTGCTGGCCTTCGGTTCCTTATAGCAGTTCAGAAACAAATGTACGCACTTGAGCTTTCCATTTGCTGCAGCTTCAGAGCAATAAGAGTTCCCTGAGCTTTACCTAGCCTGCTGCCTCAACTTTATTTATAGACTGCGGTGGGTCGTGAAAAGATGAGAAAGTGTGCAAACGTCACTGTTCGACATCCACTGCCTTCCAAAAACCCCACAACTCAATTGAAAGGGTGCTCAGTTTTCTATCCTACACATTTTCTTTGTGTAAATAAATGTTTACAGTTTTATATTAAAGACTGAATAAGAATTAGATCTTCTGAGTGTATATTTTTTACTTTTTATAGATTTAAAAACTATAATTCTTTATAAATATATATATATATATATATATGTTGGGGGTGGTTATAAGTTTTACACTTGTTTAAATGGTGAACAGTTCAGATTTCAATCCTAACATATTTTTTTGTCAATGAAATGTATAAACATCCCATTAATCCAGTTTTCTTTAACTCCAATTACCGTGGCACACCAAAAAAATCTTTCACTTCTGTTATGTCATTATAAAAAATAAATATTTTGCTAGTGTATTAAATGAGTTGTTGTGGTTTGTGAAACACTCTATGAGCTGTCTCTAATTTTGCATCTTCTGGCCGCTGAAACCAACTTTGTACATTTATATCCCTTTTCTTGAGATACGCATTGGATTAGGGAAAACTGCTATTTGGTCTTTTAATATTTTCTCACATTAGATTTTTAAAAGTGGTTGCTTAATGCTTCACGTATTCCATCACAATGCTGATACATTTAACATGATACAATTGTAGAGTTACTTTCATTGTGTTTGTGATCATTTTTGAATGTTTTATTTTCTAGGCTATTGGGAACAAAAACTAAGCACCATAATATTGTGAATGTAGTGAAAGTATTAGAAGACATGGCTTCAATATTGAATAGGTATTTCCAGCCTTTTTTTCAGTGCTCTTTTTGTTTTTGCTAGAAAAGTAGGCAAGGAAGAAGACATTGTAACTTTGGAAGATGAAAGATGCATACTGAGAAATTGTGTTGACACACTGAATGGGAGCAAAAAAATATGTTTACTGAATCTGAAGAGCATTGGGTTTTGAATGTGAAATTGATAAATTTGTGAGGGGAAATCATAGGGAGGAGGGAGCAAGCTTGTTTTCTACTGCCCGGGAGGCTAGGACGCAGAACAATGGTTTCAAATTACAGGAAAGGAGATTCTACCTGGACATTAGGAAGAACTTCCTAACTGTGAGAGCTATTTAGCAGTGGAACTCTCTGCCCTGGAGTGTGGTGGAGGCTCCTTCTTTGGAGGCTTTGAAACAGGCTGGATGGCCATCTCTCAGGGGTGCTTTGAATGTGATTTACTTGCTTGGCAGGGGGTTGGACTGGATGGCCTACAAGGTCTCTTCCAATTCTATGATTCTGTGAAACTCAAAATGTGCCATTAGTGTTTCATTTATAATTTCTAGTTTTTAGATGTGCATCTAACTAACAGCTCACTGTGAGGCATTTGCTCGGTTCTTCATGGATAAAATCGCTCTGATCCGCTCCAACCTGGACGCCACAGTTACCGCAATCTCTGAAAATGTAACGTGAGCACCTGCTTATCCAGTTTTAATGGATTCATTTCAATTTATGCAACCTGAGGACATTGACAAGATTTTTGGACAGGCGAGGGGACCACATGCATCCTGGACTCCTGCCTGTCCTGGCTGATAAAGGAAGCCAGAGGAGGCTTGGCAGAATGGCTAGAGATGGTGGTTAATGCCTCCCTTCTCGAAGGCAAAATTCCAACGAGCTTAAAAGATACTGTGATAAACCACTGTTGAAAAAGCCATCACTCGATTTCAATAATTTGGCCAGTTTCAAATCTCCCCTTTCTGAGCAAAATCTTGGAACGTGTGGTTGCCTCATAGCTCTAGGGATTCTTGAATGAAACTATCTGGATTCATCGCAGTCTGGCTTCAGACCAGGTCATGGGAATAAAATAGCCTTGGTCACTTTTAGTGGATGATCTCCGCAGAGAGCTTGACGGGGACTGTGTCCCTGTTGGTTCTCCTGGACCTCTCGGCGGCTTTTGATACTGTAGACCACGGTATCCTTCTGGGTTGCCTCACGGGGATGGGCCTTGGAGGTACTGTTTTGCAGTGGCTCTAGTCCTTCCTGGAGGGTCGTACCCAAAAGGTGTTGCTGGGGAATTTTAGCTCGGCCTCACAGCCGTTGTCCTGTGGTGTCCCACAGGGCTCAGTATTGTCCCCCATGGTGTTTAATATCTACATGAAGCCATTGGGTGAGATCATCCAGAATTTTGGAGTCCGATGCCATCTGTATGCAGATGACGTCCAACTCTATTACTCCTTTCCACCAGATGCTTAGGAGGCAATCCAAATCGTGCCTGGCCGGTGTGATGGTCTGGATGAGGGCAAGCAAATTGAAGTTGAATCCAGACAAGACAAAGGTCATCCTGGACAGTTGGAAGGCCGAACAAGGTATAGGGTTACAGCCTGTGCTGGATGGGGTTACTCTCCTTGAAGGCACAGGTGCACAGCTTGGGAGTCCTCCTGGATTCATCGCTGAGCCTGATATCCTAGATTTCAGTGGTGGCCAGGGGGCTGCTCTCCGTCCCACCACTGTCACAGGTGCAATTGGTAGGGATGAGAGAGAGGGCCTTCTCAGTGATTGTCCCTCAGTTATGGAACTCCCTTCCTGGTGAGATTAGATCTGCCCCCTCTCTCCTATCCTTCAGAAGGCGGGTAAAAACTTGGCTGTGGGACCAAGCCTTTGGGTCTGTGCAATAAGGCAGCAATAGGAAAACTTACCATGCTAACCGGATTCGATGTGGATGATTGAGACAGTTTTAAACAGTGGATTTTAATGTCGAGATAAATGGTTTCAATGTTTATGTTTGTCTATAGTTTCTTTATGTCCTGGCATTGAATGTTTGCTGTTTATATGTTGTGCTCCGCCCTGAGTACCCTTCAGGGTGCGAAGGGCAGAATATAAATGCTTTAAATTAAATAAATGATTTTCTGGTTAATGCTCTTTCAGCCTTTGATATCATAGCCAGTTAAATGTTAAAAACATGTATGGGTAAGATCTAGCCAGTAGTTTGCATGATGAGCCCAGAGATCAGAGTGATAGTCACACTTTGTATTAAACAGTGAGTATGTTGATCTGCTGTTTCCTGTTTCAAATTGCAGGATCATGATTTGTACCAGAAAGATATATTATCTGTGATTCTTAATCTCTGTTCAACCCAAGTTTGAATTTTAGCCACGGTCACATGGTAAGTTAATCACAGTTTCAATCCTGATAAGAGAAACCTTGTAAAAATAAAATATATCTTTAATCTGAGGCAGTATTTTGAACACAGTTTTATCCCTGTGTAAGGACATGTGGAGAAGGCAAAGGAATACATACAGTGAAATCTACGTGTTTTATTTCAGAATTATTGCATGTTTGTTTTTCCTACTAGTGGTAGAGCGAAGGCAGATTGGGACCGACTAGATCTCTGGGTGATTTATAGTTCATCAGCAAGAGATTATGTTGTACAATAATAAAGCTTAGAAGTAAACCAAAAATTGATTCTTTTGTGAAAGACCTTATGGATTTAGTTTTAGCACCAATCAGAATTCCTTGGTTTGTTATGTTATCGTTTGCCCATGCCATTGTTTTGCATCTAGATTCCGGCTAAAGGACCTTGGTTTTCCAATAAACGCAGTTGTTTTGAAAGCCTGAAGTGGACCCACCTGCACCTCAGGTACCATCTATAAATGTATGTATGTCCTCTTCTTGCACTTCAGAACAGTGCTACAGGCTTGTCAGAAAATGGATGAAACAAATGGAAATAGACCAGTCTTCTTTGGCAGGACATGTACTATAATGGCTAGAAGTGACATCTTCCAGAGCAGGTAGAGTTGACACACTAGCCTTAGCCGGGTTAGTGCATCTCTAGCTACAGCTGATACCTGTGTGTTCAGGTTTCAGCTTGAGTTGAACAGAACCAACTTTAAACTTGGGTCTCCAGACCACCACAAGCTCAGCATGACCCCTTTCCATGACCTGCTTATAAAATGCCCTTTTTTGTTTGGATTAAGCTTTAATGTATTTGCTTTCATCTACCCTTGTGCCAGCAGGACTGCTGACAGACAGGTCAGCAGTTTGAATCCAGGGAGAGTGGGTTGAGCTCCCTCTGTCAGCTCCAGCTCCCCATGCAGGGACATGAGAGAAGCTACCCACACAATGGTAAAATATCAAACATCCGGCCATCCCCTGGGTGACATCTTTGCAGACGGCCAATTCTTTCACACCAGAAGCAACTTGCAGTTTCTCAATTCACTCCTGACACACATCCACACAAATCTACAACACTGAGGGCCAACTAATCACCTCCAAACAAAGGATTCCCCCAGGCAGTAAGAAGCCAGACCTTGAAAACTGCTAGGCTACTAAATCAAGGTGGCCAATTGCTACATTCACACCTACCTCCAACAGACAAGAGTTCTTTCTTCCACCCTGGACATTCCAGATATATCAACCCTATTTTCCTAGTTTCCAACAGACCTCACAACTTATGACGATGCCTGCCATAGATGCAGGTGAAACGTCAGGAGAGAATGCTTCTGGAACATGGCTATACTGGCTGGAAAACACAACAACTTGGCCATGAAAGGCTTCGGCAATACATTAAATCTACAACACTGCTGAAATTTTGCATCAGTTGTTAATTTTTGGGCTGGCTAAATGACATGATGAACTTGAACTTTCAAATCAATTGTATGTCATAGCTTTCAGGTCAGTAGCAAAGAATGTAAGGAAACATTTACATTGTGTTTTCATTATGGTGTTTATTACAGTGGAACATGCTGATGGCAGCAGCTGGGATTTGTTGTTATTTTTCTTTCCTTAAGGAAATCAAGTCATAATTAGGGGATTGGGCACACAGGAATTTTGTCCTAAGTTTTTGAGTTGTTTCTGCTAGGTTGTATTTCTATCCCGGATTCATGCAAACAAACCAAACGTTACAACCTTCTTAACCATATAAGTGGCTTCTCCATGCATGGATTTTTGTGTCAGATAGTGATATACCCTCTCAAGATAGTTGTTTAGGGCAGTAGTCAAAGCAAATACATAACGACTTTTCCACTTCTGCTCCTCATTGCACAAGACCGTAGAATTATTTTTCTCTCCTGTTCCTGCTTTTTTGACTCTGTGAAACTTCCAAGGAAAACATGGTTTGAATAGGCTGGGCCATCCTGTTTTCCACAGAAGGAAAAAGGAGTGAAATGTTTCTGATAGTTATTCAGATACAGTCTGAAAATACTTTTCCAGTAGACTGTGTTCCTCACTTGTCCCCAACAGAAAGAGGATACTGTTGATTTGAAGGGTCTAAAGTTTTGATCTAGGTATGAAGCATTTTTAATTGAAAGATGTCTATAAATAGTATAGGACTGGGAAAATATTACGGTTCCTTCCCTGTATTATTATTCTAATATGATGATCAATTTCTACTGTATTTCTCCCTTGTCCCCTTTCATCAATTGCATCTTCTGGGTTTGGACTTGAAACATTAATTGTATATAATTTATATCCGACATGTAGAATATATGATAGTGTTTCGTTCTCTTAGTATAAAGCCAGTACTGTGGTTGCGCTCTCATATTGCTGAGAAACATGTCACACTGCTACAGGGTAAACTTATTTGTAGGCTTCATGGACTTGAAATCAGCAATTTATTCCATCTCTAGAAATAAACTTTGGGGAAAATGGACAAGAACTTGAATGATAAAAGAGTTCTAGGCCTTATTAAGGCCCTGTATAGTGACAGGAAGCTACAGATTAGATGTGGCAACCTGGGATAACTTTCTGGAGAAATATCCATGTCCAGAGGAGTCAGAATAAGGCTGCATCCTTGCCCCTACCTTGTTTAATACATTCATCAATGATCTGGAAGAAACCTTATCAGACCCCAATGAACATCTGCCCAAGCTTGGAACAATAAAAATCTCCTTATTGCTCTCTTGATGTTGCTGCTAACATCTCATGCTCCAGGGCAGGACTAAATCATTTATTAAGTAAATTCCTAAATTATTGCTTATGGAATGACCTAAAATCAATCACAGAAAGTCTAAAATTATGGTTTTTTGAGGAGTTGGGGGGAGAGATCTCATGCCGATGGTCCCTCAACGGGCATACTTTAGAACAGGTTAGAAGCTTTCAATATCTGGGGTTGCTTTTCCATCACACTCTGTCTGAGTCTGCTCACATATCTTCTATTTCTCCGAAAGCACAAGTTATCAGATCAGCCACTTTACCAAAGAGGGGTGATATATAGCATCAGCTATTAAAGTTTTTAATGCCAAGACAGCTACTCAGTTGCTGTATGCATCCAGCATCTGGATTGGTGGCTTAACACCTAAGATAGGCCAGCACCAACCACAGTTCTTGAGAGCCCTCTCAGTTCCCCAGATGTATATCATCCTGTGTCTTGCTGTTACAATCCGGGGAAATCCTGTCAAAAAGAGCTTGGTAGTGGGCCCTTCAATATTGGATTAAGGTCAGTGTTTTCAGACTGGGCTCAGGTCTGATTCACCATCTAGCCCAGGATGATTGCACTAGCAACTGATTCAAGCTTAACTCTGAAACAGCCTCTTCTATTGGCCTTTCTTCATCTCTCTTATCACATTTGGGGTTTGACTGGCACTTAAATCTATTAACAAAGACTGTGGGATATTGCCTTCTGTGAGCGGCTCATATGTTTCTTGTCCCCCAAGTGCCCTGAGTATACATTATGCTGGGCCTCTTCATGAAGCAAATTATCTTGATAATTTGACTATGGCCAAGTATCACTACCTATTCTCCAAGGCAAGGTGCAGTGTTCCCATCTGAGGCAGATTTGCGGGAGTCCCATACAATGCAAGACTTTGCCCATGTAATAACCAGGATGTTGAATGTATGTATTGCATCATACTGTCCTGCAGTTTTTACAAACAGGTTTGGTTACATGTTATTAACCCACTACTGAGCAACCTACCTGGTAGATGAGCCCAATTCCATGTAAAGTTTCCTACTAGGTGGTGACAATTTCCCCCCTGTGATCCTGGCTGCTGCCAAGTGTCTCTCTGAGGTAGCCAGGATACAACAACTTCCTGTATTAGACTCAGGTTGAAATGTGCCTTGTATATATTTGCAGTGTTTTTATCCTTGTTCATATGCATCTAGAATATCACTTGTCCTGTTTTTAAGTAGTCCTACCAGTTTATGAATCTGCTGTGTAGCATTTCTGGTGAAAAAATTGGGTCTTTGGACCATAATAAAGATTGATGATGAGGAGTATTGTGGTTCTGCTGGATTTGCTTTAACAAAATGTAATGCTGCACATACATTCCATGTGCAGCATTTAAATTGAGCACAATTAATGTTTCAAAATCCGTTATTTATGTAGATAATTCTGTTCTGTTTCCCCACTTTACTTTCATTGTTATGTGTCTTCAAGTAATTTCTGACTTATGGTATCCTTAAGATTTTCTTCATAATATTTGTTCAGAGATGAGGCTGAGAGAGTGTAGCTTTCCCAAGGCCACACAGTTGGTTTCAATGGCTGAACAGGGATTCAAACCCTGCTCTCCAGTCACCCAGCTCTCAAACTGCTACACCACATTGATTCTTGCTTTATTTTTGGATCATGCCATTTCGTATTAGCCTTGTTTTAGTTAAAGGGATAACCAATGGAAGGAAAAGTGAGGTTGTCATCTGCTGCCACATTGGTGAGAATCTGTTTTAGGCACCCTGCTGTCCATGGAAGGGATGTTAAGCCTCCATTATGTTGATTAAACTTAATATTTCCCATTGCAACAAGTATGAGGTTGCCTACAGTGCATGTTGAAAATGCCGAGATGTAACGCTTGTAAAACAAGAATTGGCTGTTCTTCATAGGCTCGGCTTTTAGGCATCATGGAGTGTGTTACAACCATATTTTTTAATCACTGTATAAAAATATATTTCATTTTTTAAATTTTGTATTTAATATTGCATTCTAGTGCATTGCATTGTGGTTTATTCTGTTCTTTTTTCTACTGGTCATATGTGTTTCTATGCGTGTGAGGTTTCAATGTAGTGGAAGTTCACAGAAGTGGTTTTGGTAGCAAGACTTCTTGGAATCCAGTCAAGACAGTCCAGCCAGGAAGGAGTTAACTAGCCATCTGCTGGGAAGAGGAAATAAAGGCTTTGCTGCCTGATTGTATTGAAGGCAGGCTGTGGGTATGCCTATTAACAGTCCACCACCTAGAAGCCTGCCTGGTTCTCTAGCTGCCTTGCTTTTGCTGCAGAACCAACATGCTGCATCAGATAGCCTTGCTGGCCACTGTTACTATTTTGGGAGTCTTGGAACAAGGTAAGGAACATAACCTTTGCTGTTACGTATTACAATGAAAGTTTAATAATACAGTCTATTTTTAGATCTTCTAGACCAGTATGTTAGATTGGTAATGTGCATATATTTCCTATTGAAGTTGGCTGGAGAGAATACAATCTGCACCGTGCAGTCATGCCCTGACAATCCTGTTTTGCATTTAGAATATAATAGATGTGTAGCCCTTGCTATTTTTTAAAGAGGCAAATTAGATTAAATGGATTAGTTGTAAAAACTAGCCATTCATAGGTTACAGCATAGATTTTTATAGGTTCCTCACACCCCAAGCTTAGTTCATTTAAATCAAAATTAACTGAATATAGAAACAAACTAGAAAAACTAAAAATGTAGCAGAGTCTTGCTCATCCAATCTTCACTCATCCAACGCTCTGTATTCTCCAACGCAGTCTGCCTCCCGCCTGGATCCACAGCTGTCTCAATACACTATGATGTTTTGCTGCTAAATTTGTAAATATAGTAATTACTACATAATGTTACCATGTATTAAACTGCTTTTTCTGTCAATTTGTTGTAAAACATGGTGTTTTGGTGCTTAATTTGGAAAATCATAACGTAAGTTGATGTTTAATAGGTTTTTCCTTAATCCCTCCTTATTATCCAACATTTTCACTTATCCAACGTTCTGCCGGCCCACTTATGTTGGATAAGTGTGTTCAGGGTGGTATGGCCGTAGGCATGTTGGATAAATGAGACTCTACTGTATTTGGTTCAGAAAACAATTTTAAACATTTGTCATTGCAAAAGAGGAAATCAACCTTGACTGGGTTTGCAAGAAGGTAAGAATGTAAATTGCTATATTCATGAAAGCTATGCTTGTCAATGAAGCTAAGGAATTTACAGAGATGGCACATTTGGTTCTCCCTCTTTACACATTTTGATATTGGCTACTTCAGAAGTCTCCTTTCAGGAATCCTTACTGACAACGTAATGGGCTGTTTTAATTAAATATTTAGAAAACGGAGAGTGCTACAGACTCTGAGAGCAAGCTTTCGTTCTTCATGTAGTGTTGATCCTCCCCACTATCAAGTGCTTAAGAGTCAGTCCTTTTCTACAGTTCTTCCCAAATGACAAAAGACTGAAAATGCCAAAGGAAAAATGTGCTAAACAAGGCAGGTGAACAGACATGCCAAAACTCCAGTGTGGTCTTCTTGCCGTACATAATGTGTTTCAGTTCAAGTGCATTTAGAATGTTTTCAGGCCTCTTGAGTTTTTCTTGGAGGAGACAAGAACCAGACGGCCAGGAGGAAAAATCAACTCGTTTGCAAAACATTGATAATCATGGAAATGATGTCTTTGTCCATTCATATTTGCTTATCAAATGAAGGTGGTGTTTGCTGGGGTGTGTGTGAGCCTGTTGTCTCTCATCACAAAGCCTTCATCATTTCAGCAAGTAAACTAACATGTTCTTTTCCCTTTGCTCCCCTCTTGCCTCCCATCCTCTTCTGTTCAGCCTATTTTGCCATGCAGGTGATCTATGCTCGGCGGAAGTGCAAAATCTCCCCACCTCTAACATCAGGTCCACAAGAATTTGAAAGGATCTTCAGAGCCCAGTAAGTCTGACAGATTGGGTTAGTGCGCTCAGTTTTGATGCACTGTTATGTCCTAAGCCACACTTGCAGTGAAGTTTAGATTAAAATCGCAGAGGAGGCTTAATTTTGTATATATTGGCATTCAGTTTGCGGCGTTATGCCAAGAGTTAGGGACTGTGTAAATTGTTTACATTTTAAAAGAGTTTATTGTTGAATCATTCAGTCGAATCAAATATCACGCACGGCAGATGTTTGACAAAGATATTGCAATGATTTAACAGAAAGTGGCTTTCCTTTTTGCATGGAGAAGGCACTCTGGTCATCAAGGTCCTCGTCCACCTTCTGTGTAGCAAGGGATCAGTGCTGGTCATTGTCAAGAACAATAAAGATTAATTCAACAAAGAGAAGCATCTAGATTGTATGCAAGTGTTTTCATGGCTATAGGAGGGTGAGACTTTCCGTATCTGGCAGGCTTAGTGGAACTAATGCACCCATACTTGTCTTTTAGTGAACCTCTGGAGGAACTACAGAATCTCTGTGGCCTTTCTGATTTTGTCCATCCCTCAGTAGAGCAGTGTGATAGGACCGAAACTGTCCTTTTTCTCTTCCTCCTCAACCCTGTTGCCAAAATAATCAACTTTATCACTGTGCTCTTCTTAAACTTTTTCTTTCCCGGTGCCTTCCTCAAAATCCACTCACTTTTCCCCAGTTTTTTAAGCTAGTTTCCACACCTAACTACACCTCACCCTGAGGATGTCTAAATGCATTATTTCTTCTCCCCATGTACCCTGCCTCCAACTAACCAACTCTGTGAGTTGTAGTCCAAAAATACTTGCTCACATATGGAAACTTACTGGGTGACCTTGGGGCAGGTCACACTCTCTCAGCTGTAGAGGAAGGCAAAGACAAATCACTTATAAACCAGTTTTACTAAGAAAATCTGGTAATACCGGCACCTTAGAGTTACCACAAGTCAGAAATGACTTGAAAGCATACAACAACAATACAGTTTTAATTATCACCGAGTTGGTAAGTTATAACTGAACCAGTTCAGATTGCAAGTTAAGAATTTGCATTATTTAATCTCACTGCTTAGAAAAGCAGTCGCCAAGGAAAACACTTCTACTAATCTCTTGATTTCTCCTGCCATTACATGCTTAGGCTTGTATCTTCAGGAAATCATGGAAATGCTGTGAAAGAGGATTGTGTGTGTGTGTTAATATCTGCAGTGTGACAAAATCAGAGTCAGAGTCAGGAAAATATGCCATTTGTTATAGTATCTCTATGGCATCACATGCCACCTGGAGCTATAAAGTGCTTAGGTAGTATTTCCAGAAGAAAGCTATCTAATCTGATCTCACCATGCTCTTTCCCTCTAACCTCCTGAATTAGGGAGTAAAAATATTTTTCTTTGCTTTTATTTTAGAGCAAATTGCTCCGAATACTTTCCAATATTTCTATCAGTTTTATGGGTTGCTGGAGTCTTTTCCAATCAAGGTAAAAAGTGAATCCTAATTCATATTCTTAATGTTTACCACTGAACTGCTTGCATAGCTAACACATAACAAAAACTTGATTCTTGTTTAGCTGACTAGGGCACCTTTTCACACTACATAAATCTTTCATACTTTATACTTTTTAAAGTATTTTGCTAAAAGGTTTTAAACACACATTTCTTCACTCTGTTTACATCTGTCTTATCACAAATAGTAGCTTCTTTTTTGTAAATGGTAAAAATGATTGTGGGTGGGTAGTGGAAACAGCATGCCTTCTTTAGGGAGTTCCTTCCCAAGAAGCAGGAAGGTGCATGGATGCATCAGGATGCAGAAGTTTTGGTTACTTCATGCTTCCCCAGAGACACGCACAACAAGGGCGTCTGCCACGAAAAATGTGACATCACTCTGGCTGTGTGTGTATTTTTATTGTGGAGGTTGTTGGAAGCTATGGTGAAAGGAGTATCACTCCTCAAAAGTAGTTTATGTAGTACATACATGCATGGGCTTGGGTTTTTTGTTGTTGTTATTCCTCAGTCCAAACACTAGAGTACTGGCTTTGTCCACATAGTAGTATCGCAGTGCTGGAACCAAGAGAAAATATTTAGTATTTTGGCAGGGTAGTTTTGTTATGTCTGCTGCCATAGAACCACACTTTACAAGACATATAGTAGTATTAGTATTATAGAATCATAGAGTTGGAAGAGACTTCATGGGCCATCCAGTCCAACCGCCTGTCAAGAAGCAGGAAAATCACATTCAAAAGCACCCCTGACAGATGGCCATCCAGCTTCTGTTTAAAAGCCTTCAAAAGAGGAGCCTCCACCACCCTCTGGGGCAGAGAGTTCCACTGCAGAACAGCTCTCACAGTTAGGAATTTCTTCCTCATGTTCAGGTAGAATCTGCTTTCCTTAGATATTGTGGTTTGTAATCCGTAGCCATGCCAGGCATTTCCATGCAGTAACTCTAATCTTAACTATAATGTTAAATTTGGATGATGGTTTCACAATTTTGGCCGAGGTTAATTGGGAAGGAGAGAATGTTCACGTCTCTTTTGGCTGAAAATGTTTCTGTCTTACTTTACTTGCCAGATTTAGTTAACCAAGTGGTGGATGGACACTGATATGTGGCACTTGAAAAAAAGGAGGGGAGGCAAGGCAGCCCAAATGTGTGCCCACTCTTTGGTGTCCTTGGGAGCAGTTAGTGGTGCCCCTTTGTGATGTTGCAATAAAGTGGTGAGGGGCAGGAGCAATAAACTAGAGATGGCATTTTAACAGCATCAAGATACTTTTCTTGATGCAGGAACTTCTCCTAGATTAGGATTTTAATCAGATTGTTTTCAATCCATGTGATCAGTGTTTCCATAACAACCATTTTTGTTTTCTCTTTTTTCTTAGCTTTGGCTGCATTTTGTGGGTTAATTTATCTCTATGCTCGCTATCAGTACTTTGTTGGGTATGCACATTCAGCACAAGAAAGGTGAGTATTATTTTCTGTGTAGACTAATTTCATGTCTCAGATAAAGAGTTGTCTGCCTTCAGTTTTGACCAGCTAATTTTCCTAAAATTTAAACTAGTATTGATAATACTGGTTTGGCCAATGTGATCCTTTAGATCACCTTCCAGCATTATAAATTTTCTCCTAAGGCACTATTAAGTAAACCTGTTGATACAGATCCAAGAGCCAAACACATCTCAAGGACCTGACAGTGGAAAGCGGAAGCCCCAGCCCAGTCTGTATTTTTATGAGAACTGGAATGGAATAACAGGATACCAATTAGGATTTCAGCCAAAAGACAACATTACAATTCTGGAGAAGTCTTGCTGGCTAAGTCTCAAAGAGGCCCAAGGACACTGGATGTTGCTAAGGTGGGATTAAGCAAAGCGGATGAGGTCAGATGCAGCAGGACCGGGGAACTATAGCCCCTCAAGGCTGTACTTGGGACAACTGAACCCACATTTCCCCAACTTTGGGGGCAAAACATGGCCCCTACACCTCTTTGGGCTTTGCATTGACTTCCTCATTTTAAAACATCCCTCCTAAAATGGTTTGTAACCCCCAATATGTGGATATTGCCCCTGTGCTCACCAGTAGGAAGGGTATGTAAAAGTATTAAGATTGGGCTCAGTGCACAGTAGGACATATAGTTTCCCATGTGCCCCAGCCCCACTTGTTGCCCACTCCACATTTAGGTATTCCCATGCCAAGTGTACAAAATAAAAATAAGTTCCAAGTATGTCTATCTAAGAGTGAATACTAGCGGAACAGCTTTCTGTGTTGAATGTGGTCAGGCAAGAAGCAGAAGCCTATGCTGCTATAATTATCCCAAGAAATCGGATAGGGATATGTTGCTGGGTTGAGTGCATTATACTCAGCCTGGGTATATCTGTAAATATGATCCTTATATCACAATACCTCAAGTTTCCTGTTACTGGTTTTAAAGAAACTGAACTCTGGGTAAATGCTGGAACCTTTGGAAAATTCTCACCAGTAGAAAGTGGGACAGCATATGCCTAACAAGAGCAGCATAAACACCTATTGGTGTTGCATCAGTTCCCTTTCTATGACTGAATGACCTTCCATACAAGATGTGTGTAGAACACAACAGCTGCCATCCTGGTTAGTAGTTACAAGATTATAAGGTTATTGTCTCCTAAATCAGTAGTTCTCGACCTGTGGGTCCCCAGATGTTTTGCCCTACAACTTCCAGAAATCCCAGCCTGTTTACCAACTGTTAGGATTTCTGGGAGTTGAAAGCCAAAACATCTGGAGACCCACTGGTTGAGAACCACTGTCTTAACTGGTGGAAGGTCGTGCTTATGTCATTTATGATAGATATGATCCAAAACCCAAACCATCCAAACAAAAGGGGCAACAAAGGGACACCACAGACCATATACAACAGTCTTGAGCACATAGCTGGGTGTTCCTTGACTTTCATCTCTCCTAAATAATTAAATAGACTCGCAGAATCTTAACACATATCTGGTTCAATTAAATCTGGAGAGAGCAACAGTCAGGGATTAGGGAGCCATGCTGGTCTGAGCTCTGACTTTGGGAGGCTATGGTTCCTCCCCCAGCATTTAAAAACATCTCACAGTAATTGTTTTTGGTTAAAAATTCCCCTGGATAGCATGGGAGTAATTTAGTCACATCTCTCTCCAAACTGTTTCAGGCCCTGGAAAGGTCATTTTTAAACAGGAGGCCATTAAATGCTAATCAAGGTGGCCAATTGTAACATTCACACTTGCCTCAAGCAGACAAGAGTTCTTTCTCCCACCCTGGTCATTCCACAGATATATAAACCCCACTTGCCTAGTTTCCAACAGACCTCTCAACCTCTGTGGATGCCTGCCATAAATGTGGGCAAAACGTCAGGAGAGAATGCTTCTGGAACATGGCCATACAGCCCTGAAAACTTACAACAACCCATAAATTTCTTCCTTTTTTGTCTTGATGTCAGTGTATATTCTTTTTCGGAGAAAGTTACAGTTAAAATATCTTGTTTGGCTAGATCCTTTTTAGTTTTGTGTTGGAAAATAATGTTGGTTGGGTTGCTGTATGGATGCTTTTCAAGTTTCAATTCCCAGCCACCAAACATGTGTTTGTGATATTTGCCATTTCCAACATCAGTATTCTAGAAGGTGTCATTTCCATTATAATAATGACTCTGTTTCTTGGTGGAGGGAGTTTTTTTCTTTCATCCAACTCTCCTCTTTAAGTCATCATTATTTCCTTATAAGCATATTGGTTTGCAAAGTAGCGTTTGATGATGTGAAAGGGAAATTCCAAAGAAGCCAGCACAGCGTACCTCTTACTGCCTTAGCATCTCTAACGGCTGAAAATTCATCAACAAAATACTTTTAACACATTTCAGGTTGAGGGAGTTGGAATGTTTCCTGACTTCTCATGCTTTCAAATGAATTGCACTTCCATAACAGCAACTCTAGTACCATGGTGTCTAGCAACATCATTTGGCACAAATCTATTTATCATGTTAATGTAGAGACCAGGAGTAGAGATACGCTTTTGTTAAAACAAAGTTAATGTTGTCAGCTTGAACTAATAACAACACTTTTTGTTCTTTTTACACAGATTGAGCCCGATGTACTTTAGTTCTGGTGTACTGTGTGTCCTTATTGCCTTGTCTGTGGTAGGGCTCACAGCCCATTTTATGGCCTTGCCTTATTTTTGATTCTAGCACTCCGCTGCCAAGTTATTCGTGACAAACAGCCCCAGATATTTTACATCACCATCCTCTACTTTTATTTCCTTTTTCTCACGTTTAAGTGCCTGTACCTCAATTATTTAGCAAGCAGTTCTATGGAAATGTATTTTCTGAGCCATGTTGATGTTACTATGACCTTTAACCTCAAAAATGTCAGAGTTTTAGATTTTTATTTATACGAGGAAGAATTTTGAGCAGTGCTTGTGAAATGTTCTGTGTATCCAGCGCTGGTTTTTGCTTCCTGGACATTCAAGTTATCTGATTAAGCAATGGCTGCATGAAACAATGCCCCAAATTTGGGTGCTGGTCCCAACAGGAATAGAATAATTGACCCAAAAGGGTATGTGGAAAGTTGCATTTACGGATTTTCCATTAGCTTTGTGGGTCTACTCCAGTTGAGAGTATTAACTGGATTTAAGAAAAGGAATAAAATACTTGTATTTTTGAAAAGGTCCTAATTTTTGAGCTCGCAATTCTGTAGATAAATTTGTGCAATTATTTCAGTTTCTTGCCAAGGCTTGAACAGCTGTTAGAAGCACTTAGTGATTCTGGCCCAGAAGTTAAGATGAAGGCAAATCATTCATCTTTTCTGGAAGACAGGGCATGCAAGTCTTTTCGAAAACATTGAAAATACTTGTGACAATAGGGGACAAGGCCCCTTCATGGCACAGCAGGTTAAACTGCTGAGCTGTAGAACTTACTGACTGAAAAGTTGGAGATTTGAATCCGGGGAGTGGGGTGAGCTCCCACTGTTAGGCCCAGCTTCTGCCAACCTAGCAGTTCAAAAACATGCAAGTGTGAGTAGATCAATAGTGACTGCTTCTGTAGGAAGGTAACAGTGCTCCATGCAGTCATGCTGGCCACATGACCTTGGAGGTGTCTGTGGACAATGCCGGCTCATTGGCTTAGAAATGGAAATGAGTACCATCCCCCAGAGTTGGACATGACTAGACTTTACTCATAGGGGACAAAAGACCTGGCTTTGCAAATGGGGAGGTCTGTTACACAGAGGAAGTGGCTGTCCATTCGGGTTTAAGCATATATCACCCCACTGCAAAATCTCTTTGTGGCTGTTGTGTAGCAGTTACCTTTTTGATGAATGCACCTCTCCTTCATACTCGTTGATGTGAATTCCTGTTCGAGTGGTCAGAATTCAGTGCTACAGTGAAGAGCAAGTAAAACAAAACACCCCATGTTAAATGGAATTAAAATTTTACAGTGCACATTTTAATATATATATATTTTATATAGATATACTTGGAAAAAAATCAAATGTATCCAATAATAAAAAATACATCACATTAAAGTAGTATAATGCATTCCAGTGTATCGCTAGAGACATGGGTTTTTGTTTTTGCGTTTTTAAAAATTACACTCTAATCCCTACCATTTGAGAACTGGCCTACATGTTTGTTTGTTTTTTCTTCAAAACTCACACCAACCAGTAAATAACAGAGATATGGATTTAAAAGGATGGACTCTGCACTCCTCCTCAAGGCATGAAGACACTGGTGACTTCGACATGAGCTGTATTGTGTGATGGGGGCATGTACCACCCTGGCAGGCACAGTGTGGCATTATTATTGTTTCCCTGCCATTCTGTCGCCTCCACCTCTCACCCCCTTTCTTCCTACACCCCACCTCTGATTGGTTACCTGACAGCATGTGTAATCCTCAGGAGGGGCCTGGAGCAACTGCTTTTTACTTACAGAAGGGGCAGCCGCTTCCCACCACACTCCTCAAGGCTTCGCCACCGGCTTGTGAGAGCTTGATAGTCACGCTGACCTTCGCCTTCCTTAAACCCATATTTCTAAATGCACCCTTGGGTGATACATTCAGGCATCAATACCGAGGAGGGGCAAGGGGAGAGGCCTGTGAGTCCTGTGGTCCTTGCTCAAGGGACTAAAGAAACAAATCTTTTACACAGAACATTCATCTCCATGCTTCTCTTCTTACAGCTGCAAAGGCAGCCAGGCGCACAGCAGGCCAGCCCTGGTGCTGCTGTTGTGTAGTTCAGTCCAGCACCTGCACGTGGAAAGAGAAATCTTTCTCTTCTCCTAGGAAATGTGGTCAGGAAACTCCAAGGCCCTGCCAAGTTTCACTGCCTGCTGCTTCTTCCTCTGCGTAGAGCAGCCAGGTGCCCTTTGGAAGCACCTTTGCCTAGGAGTCAGCTCCCCGTATTCTGCCACGTCTGCAGTTTCACAGAAGAGAGGAAGAAAAGGAGAAGAGCCGATAGCGACACTGTGTGTGCATCGTTCCTTGTATCTTCAAGCTCAATCGGCTTTCTTCAGGAATATCTGAAAATATGAGTTTTCAGAGAGAAATCTATTAGGATTTAACAAATCAGCTTTGCATTGTTTCTGTGGTAGGCTTAGAGAACATATTGGATCCACCAGCTCCACATCGGATAAGCAGTGGCCATGGCTAGCAGGGAGGACACAGACTCCCCAGCTGTTTTATTTTTCGTGTCAGGAGCGACTTAAGAAACTACAAGTCGCTTCTGGAGAGGATTGGCCACCTTCAAGGACGTTGCCCAGGGGATGCCCAGATGTTTTATCATCCTGTGGGGTGCTTCTCTCATGTCCCCACGAGAAGCTGGAGCTGACAGAAAGGAGCTCACCCCACTCCCTGGATTCAAACTGCTGACCTTTCAGTTGGGAGTCCTGCTGGCACAAGGGGGAAACAGGACATGCTTTTAATTAGCCAGTGTTTTATTTTGCAAAGATTACTACTCCCTCACTTATTAGCTCTGGCTCTTAAAAAACAAGGTTTGAGTCCTGCACTGGAACACAAAGCAACTGTAACATGTAATCCCTGAATGTGATGGGAAAGGATTTCCTAGCCATAAAGATTGCAGAGTACTGACAAAGGCCTGATTTGGGAAGTGTGGTCTGGAAAAAAAATGGCCAGTATTCCAACTCACTGACAACACCATCTACTTTAATTACACATCCAATAATCACAGATGTGTTGCATCTTTTAATATTACAAAAACTAAAGGCTGTACTCTGTTTCTTGATGCGTGGAGGTTCCTTACACATCACCGCTTGAAAAGAAATATATAAATGAGTGTTATGAAAGTGGTTGCCAGAGACAAATAGAGTTGGCCCTCTGTATCCATAGATTCTACCATCCACAGGTAAAAACTTTTTTTTACAAAAACAAAAGCAAACTTTCAGTTTTGCCATTTTCCATAGGAGACACCATTTTAATACACTAGCTACAGCACTGTATATAAAGGGACTTTAGCATCCACTGAAATTGGAATTCAAGGAGTTCCTGGAGCCAAATCCCCACCAGCAGCTACCAAGGGCTCACTGTATTTATAGATTAACCCAGTTTTGCTTGGCTCCATGGAGGTCAATCAGGAGAGGTGCAGCGACTTCAAACAGGACACATGCCATTGGCATCTCCTCTGGTCTCGCAGCAATGACAGTCTTGAGTCACCATTTTGACTGTGCTACTTCCCTTCCAAGCAATACTGTTGCAGGCACTTTAGAGACTACCAGGACTTGGAAATACCAGCTCATAGCTAAGGGTGCTTATGGCATCCTGTCAGGAGAGAACATACTATGGGAGCTCTGGCACTGACCTCTCCAAGATGGAGATGGCATTCTGTGCAGATTGTTTATTAATTAAAATGGAGCATAAAATGGTGATTCCCTCTATCATTCACATTTGTAAGATGGATGAGAGGCCACTCTCATCCAGAAGATAAAACTTCTAGAAGACTTCCATTTTTTGTCAGGCTTAGTGCTAGGGAAATCCTGCAACGCTGTCTAGAGAAATCTACCTGAGGACATAACAGGCATGAGCTCCAACTGTGAATGAACACTTTTGAGGAAGCTGGTCTTCAAGAGGGAAAAACAGCTCAAAGAAGATTACCTCACTCAAGATGATCCATACAGGCGAGTCAGTTTGGATGGTCAGTCGTATTGCTTCCAAAGGACCAAAGGAGGGGTCCACTTCTCCTTCAGCGATGCCTTTGGAAAAGGAGCCTGTGGGAGGACAGAGAAGATAGTTTCAAGACAAATCGCAGGTCCTCTGTGTGACAGTAATGCTACTGCACCCCATTGTGATGGGCCATTTCCAAAAGATATGATTCTACTGTGATTCCCAGAATCCTCCAGCAGGAACTGCCAGTAGAGTTTTCAGGGTTGTGGGAGGAACTGGGGCATCCATACTCAGGCAAATGAGGGCAAGAGATGTGCCCACCTGTCCCCCCCCCCCTGCAGGACCACAGACCATTGTGGAAGCTGGGGGAGGGGGGTGTTATACATAACAAAGCCTTGAGACTTCTTTATGCAAGCCAAAACAACTTTAACATCTTACACAAGTGGCTGGTTATGCAAGTGTAAATCTCCAGTGGGATTCTGCCTCCCCACCCTAAAAAAATATCTTATTGGCCAGTTCCAATGCAAGCATTTACGCAGAGGAATGCCAAGACAGACCACAATACCTTTGCATTCAGATGTCTGATGTTTACAATGTAGGAGTCGTCGAGTCATGGTGAATACCTGGTCCCTAAGCCAATGTCACCCTCTTTTAGGAAAGTCAACATTTCAAACTGGCTGGGACTGAGCCCTTCTTTCAGACTGCATTTTATATATGACTGGCTATGTGGACTCATTTTAAAAACATTCTAACCATCACTCCGTAATCCTGACCAATACATAGCAACCCTTCAATTTGTGAAATCACAAAACTAGTTTTTCAAGTAGCAAGTTTAAGGTGCCACGCTGCTGAGGTTACTCACCATCCCAAAATATTCAGAACAAGAATGGCACAGAGATGCTAATACATGCGTGGAATGCTCATGTGGCCCATGGCACATTCCTTGCAATCAGTACGACTGAAAAGTAGGGCACTAGAGCTGTGTAGACTGAAAATTTTCTGTTCTGTGGGGGCATCCCTATGTAGGTCTACTTTCTGACTCCTCCACACTGATTTCTCCATTTTTTCCAAGAGTGGCGCAATAGTGTGAGCAGCCTTGAGAAGGAGCTATTATCTGCTCCCTCCCATCCAGGTTCTAAAAAGGGAAACATAATATTGTGCAACAGGAAGGATGTGGCCTTTATTAAAACCTGAAAAATAGCCACAGTCTGGTCTGTCCTGGGAAGCAGCACCAGAGTTTCTACCACAGTTATAACACACGAGAGCATGCCTTTGCTTTCAACTGTACAGACAGGAGGTTTCTAAAGGCAACCTGGAAATAAAGTGAAAGCCAGAGTGGCATGAAACTACATAGAGATGTAGCTGTGGCAATTAAAAAACAACAACAAAAGGAAGGGGAATGATGGCTACTCCCAAACTATGGAAGGGAGGCTCATTGAGTTTATTTTAATGGAGCAGGGAGTGGATGCTTTGAGAGCCAGCGTAGCGTTTGACATGGACACCAGGATGCCAGGGTTCAGCCATAGAAATTCACTGCATGGCCTTGGGTAAGTCACACTTTCTCAGCCACAGAGGACTGTATAGGCAAAGCTCCCCTGAACAAGTCTGGCTAAGAAAATCACATGAATTCCTTAGCTTTCAGAAATAACTTGAAGGCACACTTGCAAGTAATAGGTGCTTTAAAACTGATTTCAATCCAATTATCTTTTTGATATCCTGATTGGTTCAATTGTGTTTTAATAATTGAATGAATTGTATCTGTATCTGTGAACTCCAGGTGAGAGAGGTGGGATATGAAGCAAATCAGCAAATAAATACAGTGAAGAGCTGGTGTGATACTGCTATTCCCAGAAAGGACTGCAGATTTACAGTCCTTGCCTCCCTCTGAACAAATCTTGCCAAGAAACCCCCATGATAAGTTCACTTTAGGGCAGTGGTTCCCAACCTGTGGTCCATGGACCACCAGTGGTTCTCAAGAACAAAAATATGGTTCACGGCCTCACCATTACTTCACTCACCATTACTTCACTGCTGCAATGACAGCAACTGGTCTTGCAAAGCCCTCTTATAGTGCTGAGGCTTATTAAATATGGTTTTCTGTGGGTGAATAGATAGTGACTACTGGATGGCATATGTTCTGTATCAGAAACTAGAGCTGATATGGTCTATCCAATGCAATTTTGTGAATCAGCACCCCAATTAACCAAACTGAATCTAAAGTTGACCAATAACAGATTCGTAACCCTTTGGGTATTTATGTTGGAGAGTAGTCCCTGGTCAAAAAAAAGGGGAACCACTGCTTTAGGGAAACCATTAAGTAGGAAAGCAATGCTTAGAAAAAAATAATGGATTGTTTTGCAAAATGACGTCTTGTCCAGTAGAGGGCAGCGCCTCATCACAAATCACTAGATGACCTATAACACAAACACAAAGAGGGACTCCCATTCTGTTGCCTAACTCTTTATAGCAAAGCCAGCACAATCCATTTGAGAAGAAAGCATCAACAAGCAGGGAGTCCACCAATGTTTGCAGCAGGAGCTTATCAACCATACAATAAGTTAATGGCAGGAGGAAGAAACCTGCCCCCAAACAAAATAAAATCCTGCCTAATGAAAGTCAAGTAAGCCAGAGTCAATGTAGTGTTTTGAACAGGCCTTTTGGAGACCAGGGTCTGAAACTCCACTCAACCAAACAGAAGCCCATAACATGACACATTATAATTTCTCAGCCCTAAAGGAAAGCAGTAACAAATCTCTTCTGAAGAAGTCTGCTCAAGAAAACATCACAAGGTCATCTTAGGTTGTCAGAAGTCAGAAATAATTTGAAGGCACACAACAACAAATGAGGGTTGGGCATAGTAATGTAATAGTCTAAACTGAAAGGGATGAATACAGTGTAAAACTGTCCAATGTTTGAAATGCTTCACATAAATCAACCTGGAATCCTTTGGAAATCAAGATCAGTAATTTTTATCATGTACAACAGACAGGTGGAGCTGAAGGGAAAGAAGTGAATTTTCCAAAAAGACCACCAAATCACTTTCTGGGCAGCAGAATGGGATTTAAAGCCAGTGCTTCTGAAAAGGTAGCCCATTAAATAAGTCATTCTGCTGCATCAGTAAGGTTCTGTTCCTGGTGTTTCTCATTTATTTATTTATTTTTTTGTTTATTTATTTCCAATATTTCTATCACGCCCTTCTCAACACCCGAGGGGGGACTCAGGGCAGCTTACAAACTGGCCACAATTCGAAGCCCCAATATAATACAAATATAAACACAAATAGCAACAGTTTAAAACAGTAAATAAAACATTAAATTAAAAACATGTTAAAAACATGGTCATTAACCATAGTGCCAATTACAATCCGGTTGAACATCCAAGGAGCTGTCATGCTTGCTGCCTTGGTCCCAAAGCCATGACTTAACCTTCTTCCTAAAAGAAAGGAGGGAAGAAGCTGACCTGATCTCGCTGGGGAATGAGCTCCATAGGAGTGCGGCCACCATCAAGAAGGCCCTGTCCCCTCATCCCCGCCAAGCACACTTGCGAGGCTGGCGGGACTGAGAACAGGGCCTCCCCGGATGATCTTAAGCTGCGAGGTAGAACGTAGAGGGAGATTCATTCGGACAGGTAAGTTGGGCCGGAAGCATAATAGAGAAATAACTACTTTATGTTTGATATTGTGAACATAAGCACATAAACCATTATATGAAATACATATGTGCCAAATTATGGGTCTCTATAATAGAAATCCATCTATTCTGACTGTCAGTAGCTCTCCAAAGCCTCAGGCCTTTGCTGGTCATTGGTTTTAAAAATGTGACATTATTTACTGAGCTGTGTCTGTTTTCTTCTGCATCCAAGAACAGAACTGGAGGGCAAGTCCGAGATCTGATTTTACTACCATTTTTGGTTTAACTACTGAATATTTGAAGCTGACTGAAATATGAAAGATCTCTCTGTTATCATCACCTCAAACCCTATTATTGGGGTCAGGCAGAAAGACAGATAGATTGTGAGGCACAAGCTTTTAAGAGTTCTTTCTTGAGTAAACAAAATGTGAGCAAGGAAACCACCAGGAAATGGATTCCTTCTGATAGATGTGGAAGAAGTCCAGATGAGGGCACACACATTTGAGAAGCAGTTATGTTCTCTTTCCCTGATGATGCAAACACTAATACAACTGGCCAATTCTTTTACATTTTGAATGCAGGCAGAGAAAGATAACACCACAATCTATCTTGGAAAGAAGCCCAGGTCAAGAAAGAGGCCAATTTTTCCCTTCATGTCAGGAGCGACTTGAGAGACTGCAAGTCACTTCTGGTGTGAGAGAACTGGCAGTCTTCAAAGACGTGGCCCAGGGGATGCCCGGATGTTTTGATGTTTTATCATCCTTGTGGGAGGCTTCTCTCATGTCCCCGCATGGGGAGTTGGAGCTGACAGAGGGAGCTCATCTGCTTGCTCCCCGGATTCGAACCTCCAACCCATCGGTCTTCAGTCCTGCTGGCACAAGGGTTTAACCCACTGCACCACTATGGGCTCCACAAGAAGCTGCTAATTGACATTTACACCATGTGCCAGAAGTAGGGTCCTTATCCTCAGTTCAGTTCCTGGCCAAGAGAAGAAGAGATCCTTGTTGCTCACAGTGGTTTCTGCCTGGTAAGTGAACAATTCATATCCTTTACGTATTCTACAAACTAGTGAATGTGTAGAAATTGTGAATATGAACCAGTCATGAATGTGTGGTCCTAAACTATGCCTTTGTAACTAACTTAGTGAATTCTAGCCATGCTACAGATATGGGATTCACTGATTTCAGTGGTATTTGTACTGAAAAGCAAAACCTAACATCCACTTTGGGATCATTTCCCTATCCCACACTCACAAAATTATTTGAAATCAGTGCAGCTTTCTTTGTCCTTTAAGTATGTCCAGACTTATTGCAAAATTTGTGACAACATTTGTTAAGTGACAAAAAAACACCCATCACTGTGGAAATACAATGATTAGGGAATAAGCCAAAGTTCAGTATTGTGGGAATCAAAATACCAAATGTTTTCTAAGCAAATGACTTTTGCTCTCAAGTTCAAAACAAGTGTGCGGATAGAGGTGAACACTAATTAATATAGAATAAGCTGGTTCTGCCCTCAAGCCTCCTGTACCATCACTCTCTGTGCAACTGTGTTATCCAAAAGGAACATACACAAGTCATTCTCCACGACCAGCAGGCTCCTGTTTGCCCTGAACCAGCAATTTACCTATCTGTATGTAGCCGTCAGATGTCCTGTGGTACTTGAATGCCGTTGCTCTCCCCTCCTGCAGGGCTTCCTTATCTGACTGGAGACTCTGTGCAAGAAAACAGACAATATTTGTAAAGAGCTAGCCACAAGGATTTAGGAGGCCTGCTGTGGGTACAGCTGGAACCACTATGACCATAAAAGCACTAAGGCAATATTGATGTTTTCAGCAATGAGACATTACTCTAACAAGCAGGGTTGTTAGAAGACCTTTGTGACACCCATGAAAATGTCTCTTAAAGTATATCTTGTGAGGATCAGGCCTTTTCCTGCCACAGGCCATATCTTTTAAATAGGAGATGACTAAGCAGGCTTACTTCTAGATTTTGGAACAAAGTCTCAGGAATTAGAAGTTAGACTCTGGTTCATGCTTGGGCCCCACTTAGAAGGTATTCTTGTAGTACTATTGTATTCTTGTAGTGCTATCCAGATACAAAATAATGAGGACCTAGCTTATAAACTCCTAAAAAATGTGACACCTTCAAAATTGTAATGAAAATAATCAGCCCTTAAATATGAACTCACCATCTATCCCTAGAAGTTCATAATGGACTAGGAAAGTTACTCTTTTAGACTTCAAAGTCCAGAATTACCTACCTAGTATGGCTCTAGAGTTGGCATCTTGTCAATGACATAAACAGATACACAGAGTATATTTTTAAACAATGTGCAACAGTCATTTCCAACTGATGAAAACATAAGCAGATTTGCATACATGTGGAAATGCATTAAAACATGCAGAATAGTGTGTGGATGCACACTACATCTCTGCATTGCCTCTGCACATTTCTCACTGCAATTGTGCATGGCTATTGATCTACACAGTTGTGCAAGGTTGGCATTCAGCTCAGGATTTGCGTAACATAATTCCACTGGCAGACATTTACATTACCCTGATGCAATGCTGGTTCTCAACCTAAGTGTTGTAGTCCAAGGCCTCAATCTGATTTGTTAGTCCCAACTACATTAGACCCAGTAAATAAATGACTGGATACAAGACAAAGACAAACTGCACTGACCCAATGGGTCTACTTTATACATTGCTTAGATCCAAAAATTTCAAAGCGGTGTGCACTAACAAAAAATCACAGTATAAAAAAATCACAGAATACACAACATGCAAATTACCATAGAGTCTTTATATGATCCAAGAAATAGATGTTAATTGAGCTAAATAGAGAAGGCCAGCAAAATGTTTTTCACAACAATAACAAGCATGAATTCATATACTAGACGCCACTGAAAGCCAATGTGGTATTGTAGTTTGAGCATTGGACTACAACTCTGGAGGCATAGGATAAGAATCCTTACTTGGCCATGGAACCCACTAGGTGACCTTGGGCAAGTCACATTACCTCAGCCTCAGAGAAATGAAAAGACAAACCTCTTCTGAACAAACTACGGTGAGGTGGATCTGTCATTGGTTAAGTGGACGAACACAGAGAGTGCTCACTAATGCTTCCTCTTCATCTTGGAAAGAAGTGACAAGTGGAGTGCCGCAGGGTTCCGTCCTGGGCCCGGTCCTGTTCAACATCTTTATTAATGACTTAGATGAAGGGCTAGAAGGCATGATCATCAAGTTTGCAGACGACACCAAATTGGGAGGGATAGCCAATAGTCCAGAGGACAGGAGCAGAATTCAAAACGATCTTGACAGATTAGAGAGATGGGCCAAAACTAACAAAATGAAGTTCAACAGTGACAAATGCAAGATACTCCACTTTGGCAGAAAAAATGAAATGCAAAGATACAGAATGGGTGACGCCTGGCTCGAGAGCAGTACGTGTGAAAAAGATCTTGGAGTCCTCGTGGACAACAAGTTAAACATGAGCCAACAATGTGATGTGGCGGCAAAAAAAGCCAATGGGATTTTGGCCTGCATCAATAGGAGCATAGTGTCTAGATCTAAGGAAGTAATGATACCCCTCTATTCTGCTTTGGTTAGACCACATCTGGAATATTGTGTCCAATTCTGGGCACCACAATTCAAGAGAGATATTGACAAGCTGGAATGTGTCCAGAGGAGGGCGACTAAAATGATCAAGGGTCTGGAGAACAAGCCCTATGAGGAGTGGCTTAAGGAGCTGGGCATGTTTAGCCTGAAGAAGAGAAGGCTGAGAGGAGATATGATAGCCATGTATAAATATGTGAGAGGAAGCCACAGGGAGGAGGGAGCAAGCTTGTTTTCTGCTTCCCTGGAGACTAGGACGTGAAACAATGGCTTCAAACTACAAGAGAGGAGATTCCATCTGAACATGAGGAAGAACTTCCTGACTGTGAGAGCCGTTCAGCAGTGGAACTCTCTGACCGGAGTGTGGTGGAGGCTCCTTCTTTGGAAGCTTTTAAACAGAGGCTGGATGGCCATCTGTCAGGGGTGATTTGAATGCAATATTCCTGCTTCTTGGCAGGGGGTTGGACTGGATGGCCCACGAGGTCTCTTCCAACTCTTTGATTCTATGATTCTATAAATCTTGCCAGGGACATTTCATGACTCGTTCATCTGAATCAATTGGAAGTGACTTGAAGGCACATAATCCAACACACAGGCGGCATCACACTAAATGCTCTGCTCTAAATTACTGCTGAGCAAACTTCTGGAACATGTGGCACTACTAGGAAGACTTCCATGCCTTATGGGTGCACAAGGGAAAAGGGGGACTTTAAAATAAATTGGGTCTCAAGCTATATAAAGCTTTATAAACATCAAAATTTTCAACCTGGCTTAGTAGCTGACAGGCAACTGGTGCAAATCTTTCAGTAGATATGTTATATGTGCTTGGCCAACTCATACATTTTGCATTAGCTGCAATTTCTAAACCAGCCTTAATGATAGATCCACACCATATTCACTGTAATATTCTAGCCTTGAGGTTACTGCTGAGGATGCTTGCCACAGATGCAGGCGAAACATCAGAGAATGCTTCTAGAACATGGCCATACAACTCGAAAAACCTACAACAACCCAGTGATTACAGCCATGAAAGACTTTGACAATACAGCTGTGCTATGGTTTGCTGAAACTAACAACTAGATTCCACCCCAAAAGCAATTTTCCCAAGCTCTGAGCAAAACTTTACAACATCTTTCTAAGCATATGCAAGGGGTTCAAGAGTAAATGGGAACGAGGGGCTGCAATCAGTATGTGAAGGCTTGAGGAGAATCTCTCCTATCAGAAGCTCAGCCCACTTACATCAAAGGGTAAGACTTCCACTGTAGTGTTGAAGAGTTTGTCTTCAGGGTGCTCAATGTTGCCACTGCGGAAGAAAAACCTGTGAAAATAAAACCAACAATGTCTGCAAAGATTCACAGGGGGATAGATTAGCATATAAAAGAACCCCACCAGGAATACATGTACCATTTACCACAATGCCTGGATGCAACAGGTGGCCCTCCTCCCCAAGAAAGCTCACTCAGAGAGAGGCAACTCTGAAGTGCGCAAACAACCAATTACAGATTGATTGTTTGATTGCTCTTGCAAATTAAGCACTTCGCTGCATTTGAATGAATATAAGTAAGAAGCACAATTATCCATCCCCATGGTGAAAGCAGTCTGCTTTTCAGCTCTATCAAACTAGAGGAATAAGATGTGATTGTGTGTGCATTTTGAATACAAGAACAAATTCTGGGAAGGATGACTCTGCCCAGATAAGATAAATTTTAAAGGCCCTTTCATAGAATCATAGAATCATAGAATCAAAGAGTTGGAAGAGACCTCGTGGGCCATCCAGTCCAACCCC